AGACCACTTTTTTTTTTCCTTTCCTAGGGTTTTTTAAACCTAAACTTCTCAGGCCATTGTGTCCTTGAACCTGCCTTGTGCTGTCCATGAGTCACATCCCCTGTCATTGTTTCTATTGTCCTTGAGCCCTCCTGATGCTGGGAGCTTCCTCTTCTGCCTCTGCCCAAGACGTGAGGGCTTTTGGCATGTCTGGCCCCAGCACACTGTGGGGCTCTGAAGTCAGAAGTCCCTCCGTGTTCCTGCTGGCTGAGCAGCCTCCTCAGGCCCTGTACTGCATTTCTGAGCTGGGTTACAGGGGGCCCATCTCCCTGCTGGGATGTCCTGCTGGAGACTGAGTGGTCTGCAGTGGGCTCTGGAAGATGGGGGCCTGCTGCAAGCCATCTCTGTAAGGCTGCTATGGGGCAAAACTTGTGCTGATGAGAGGGAGAGGGAGGGGAAGGCAGCACTGCCTAGGGTTTAGCTGCGAGCATTGTAACTGCATTTCACTGCGAGCATGTAAACAGGGGATCTTCCCCTGGTTCTCCCCGGGTCAGCTCCAGCCCTGGACACACTGTAGGGTGCGCGAAGTGAGTCTGGGCAGAAAGGAGACATCCCTGGCAGTCCCAGACCTGGGCTGTATTCAGACAGGACATTCCGTTCTCTCACGCCAGCAGCACCAGTGCTGCATCCTCAGAGGCTGTGCTCGGGGTTTCAGCCACAGTCCGTGAAGCAGCCCAGGGGCTCAGAGCTGGCACACCTAGAGATGCTGCAGCCGTGATCGCTGTGCTAACACCTGTCTCCCTTGAGCCCTGGGGCATCCTGTCACCCTGGCTGGAAAACACTCCCCCCAGCCCTTTGAAGTGAGGCACAGGCCCCATGGAAAGCCTGTCTGTCAGCAGCCTCCAGGGCACTCTTACCTTTGTAGGAGATGCGAAGGCGAGGGGCATGTTGCTTCCAGGCCCCGCTGGTGTCTGGGTGCAGCAGGAGGATCCAGAGCAGGACGGTAGAGAGGGGAAGCCTGCCACTGTGGGAGGCTTTCATCTTGGCGCTCTGCTGCTGGGGACAGGGGCAGCTCTCCCTCACAGTACCATGATCCACTCACAGAGATGCCTCTTTCACCTCCAGCTGTAAGAAGAAAAGGAGAAAGTCTGCACAGCTGCAGGCTGTGTGCAGACTGGGACTCCGTCCCACTGGCCCCATGGACTCATAGCTGAGATGAGTGCTCTGGGCTGCTCTAGAGATCCCAAGTTACAGCATGGCAGGTCTGCTGGCAGCGTGTACCTGAGGAAGCATTAGGCCAACTGTCCGGCAGAGAGGAGCCACCACGCTCTGCCTAAGAGCAGGCGCCTGGCCCCAAATACCCACCCACAGCACTGCAAAATTAGCCAGCGCTGCTGAGCACAGTGTTGCTGAGGGAGGTCTCTGGCCACAGCTGGAGTTCAACTAACTGGGCAGAGATGATGAGGCACAAGTTGAGTATCTGAACCCCCCCCAGGCCCTTGATTAAGCCTGCTGCAAAGCACGTCAGGACTCTTTATCTGACCAGAGCACCTGTAGGCTCTCAGGAGGGCCAGGCCCCATTAGTCTCTGTGAAACAGAGTCTCAGGGAGAGACAAGGCCCGGTCTTGAAGAGCACCGTCAGCCTGAATTGACAGGTGGGAAGAAAAGCAGGGGGCCCAGAGAGGCGAGTGTCTCACTTGCTGGGCTCTTCTTGCAGCCTTGATGGCTATTGATGGTTATAGCATGAGGAGGAGAATTTCTGAATGTCTCCAGGGCTGTGCGGTCTGGATGCCTTCACATCACAGAGCAATTCAGTTCCCAAGTAGGTGCTCTGCACCCTACACACATGTGCACACATCTCCAGGAGCTGTCAAAGCAGCTCTTGCTTGCAGAGCCCTGGTTCACAGGGCTAATTTGAGTATTGTGAAATCCAGGGCATGCTGTGGCTGAGAAGCCGGCTCACAGGCTGCAGCTTCTCCTGCTACCCACGGGCTCCGACACATTTTGCATAACAGAGAATTCAAAAGCCCAGCTATTACAACCTGGCTAAGGGATCTGTGTGTTGTGATGTCTGTGGCCCCATGCAATACACAAGAGAGCTTGGTTTTGAGCATCCCAAAGGTGACTGATGTGAGGGAAGGGACAGGTCATGAACTGGGAGTAGTATACCTCTCTCAGGCGCTCAGGGCTGGGGCAGCCTTGGATAAATATGTGTCCAGACACAATGCTTGGGCAGAGCCCTTAGATGGACCTCCTAGTATTTGTCTTACCTCATCTCAGAGTTAAATCTTGTCCATCTTACAACCCAAGGGGGTATTAACATTTTGCAGTGGTGTCATTTAAGAACCACTTTTGTGACCCCTTTAGCATCAGCTGTGGCTGTGCGTGTGCATATCAGGCTGGCTAGTAGCCCTTAAAATTGCCCAGGCACTACAAGAAGCACCAAGAGCATCCATCAGCTCCTGGACACAAGTGAATGGAAATGGGAGCATTCCTACTCTCTCCTGCATTTACACACCCCCAGACACAGTATTATCGCCTTATTTACCAACTCCCGCACATCCTGGAGGGGAACAGAGCTGGATTGACAGTTCTCAGCAATTAATATAGGCAATTTAGCCACTTTTTCCTGCTTAAAAATGTCCTGATCTCTAAATGTCAGCTTCAACTATCCAACACTCGTGCTGTGTATTCAGTTCTGAGTCCCCTGGCTGAAAGACTTAAAATGAGTAGAGAGGCATTTGGACCAAGCAATAGGGGATTTCTGTAGTCTTTGTTATAGTCTGTGTAGGAGTGAACATGCAGGCACAGCCCACAGAAGCCAAACATTTTAAACTGCCTTGTTCTGTGTCTTCCACAAGACGGAGCACCGGGGTGAGCCTATGGACACAGATGCAGGCTTTCAAAAGCATGGGTTTTTATCTCTCTGGTGGGAGACAGGGAGAAGACAGCCAGCTCTGCTGCTCAGCAGCTTTCCAATCCCTTTTTGCATTCAGAGTCCTTGCATGTTGCAGAGTTGAGTGCGGTCCCCTGGGACAGCTCCTTTGCTGACTTTTTCCCTTACATTTATTGTAGCTAACCAGTTACAGCCTAAAACTGTGCAGACCTAAGTGCCATCTACCACCACAGCCCTCACCTAGCTGAACTCAAGCCAGTTGGCTTTTTTGACAACACACACTGAAACTGGGGAGAGCAGGAAATACCTCTGCACTAACAGTTGTTCTCTGCCAGATGAAGGTTAGAGCTCTCAGTCTTTCCACAGTTCCCTTTATCCTCCAGGCAGGACAGGTACATCCATCCTCTACACACTGCAAAAGGTCTGCTTGTTTTCACTGGCAATGCACCCAGTGCTCTGCAGCTAGCATGAGGCCTTGGCAGCACAGGAGTGGTTTAGCACCAAGACTTACTTACACTGGTGTGGGTTTGTTGGGTTGATGCTAAAGGGAAAGATTAGCTCAAAGCTGTCAAAGCCCAGTCTTTGTGCTACTCATCCCTCATCCATGCCAGTCTCTCCAGCATCATACATGTACATGTTCCCCTTCCTGCTTTGCTCGTACTCTGGCCAGTGTAACATGCTGCTGCTCCATGCTGGTGCTTCCCTTCTGTCCCAGGAGACCTTGCACTACCCTGGATGTGACCTCACAGTGGCTGCTGCACCATTTATTGTACTGTACTTTCTTTAGCCTTGGGTTGTTTTCCAAGGCTGCAAACCACCTTCCCCCTGTGTAGACTTTCTGAGCTCCCCGTTTGGTAGGCCCATCAGCATCTATAAACAAAATTGATTATAGGTTTTGCTAGGTTTAAATTTCTCATTGGTTGATACACTGATCATGGAGAGAGGGGTGCTCTGCAGTGTGGTGGCATGCAGGGGAGCAAGGCTCAGCCTTCGAGGTTAAGCTGTGCCCAGTCAACATATGTAGAGATGCACATGCACCATCTTCCCACCTTGTAAGCACTGAGCTACTAATCCCACCTACATATGATGTCTTGTTTCTCTCCTCTTTCGGCTCCCTGCTTCAGAACTGTGCCTTTGAGTTACTAGTACCAGGGTCTTTTTCCTCCCCCTGCTGCCATAGTCACTCCCAGGTGAGAAATGAACTTACTGAAAATGAGCAGCAGCCACACAGACTGGAAAGAATGGTGACTGGCACATCACTGCAGCTTCAGGATCAGCTAATGCTGGATGCTGGCCTCGCTTTATGCACAAACACATTCCTGCCACGCAGAGATAAAGGGCAGTTTCCCTGTGCTGTGGAAGCTCTAGCAGTTTTAGCCCTTCCAAATTCATCCGTAAAGCAGAGACTGAGGCAGAGCCTCCCAGACCTATTCTCCTGCTGATCCATGACCATGGCATGAATGAACAGCGTTATCCTAGAGGTCATCCCAAGGACATGACTGGGATTTGACAAAGATTTTTTGCCAATGTACATACGGTTGCTGGAGAACTTGGCCTCTAATTGCAGCTTTCTATAAATGGAGCTGGGCCTGAGCTAGGCGTAGGTTTGGGGACAGCAGTTGGCACTGGGAGGAACCTTTCATGACCCAAAGCCCCAGGATATTCCAGGGTGGGCCCAGGATTCTGTGAACGGCAGGCAGGGCACAGCTCCCTCCCTCTGGGACATACTCACACATAGGCCACAGAGCAAACATTAGGGAGCAGCAAAAATGTTTTGCATGCCTGCAGAATAGGCTGAAGCAGTGGGGCAGGAGTGCATGCTCACACAAACGGTCTGGCTGTGCCAGCACTTTGTTTCCTTGCCCTGTGGATATCAAAGGAAGGTTTGATTGCAACAGGAGTGGGAGCCACATGCAGAATGAATCCACAGATCAATGGAGTGTCCTGGCAGAGCTGTGTGCAGGGTCAGAAGAGGTGGAGATGTGGCTGTGCCAGTTTGACTGGGTAAAGTGGCTGGAAACATGCAGTGGGGTCATGGCCCCTTCCTATAAACCTCAGCCCAAATATTCCTGGAGGTGAAGAGCTTGTCACAGGCAGAGTTTACACTGAGAGGGGGAGAGTGGGTGTCTAGTGGATGGAAACAAGCTGCGAATGATGAATCCAGGGTTAAATTAAACACTCCCGACAGCTTTAAATAATCAACTGTCCTGAGCTACAACTATTTCTATCTCAGTTTGGAGAGGGAATTGCTGATGAGAGCAGACTGCTGGGGTGAGGGGGATTTCTGTGGGTTTGGCTTTGGAGTCTGGGTTAAGGCAGTGAAGATTTCACACCCTAGGCACCACGAGGGTCTGAGGGAGAGGAAGTATTTTGCAGTCCCTATTTTATGGGGAGTGGCAGTAATATTTTTGATGGAATTCACATCTTGCAGCCCTGCCTCACACTGCACTCCTACCCCCACAGCGCGCCCGCTCCCCCCGTGGTGCCCCTATGTCTCTCCATGAATGCATCTTTACTTGGATCAGTAAATACTCAGCAAGTACCTGGCTATCCCAGCCCTACTTCCACACACTTCACCCCCCCCAAAATGAGACCTGCGCCCACAGACTCAACACCTCCTCTGAACAACACCTGCTTCTTCCTCCTGCATTGGCTGTGCTCCAACACAGAGCACAGCAGTCAGTCCCTACAGCGCAGTCATTCTTCAGCCCCTCTGCTCAGGCTCATGGCTACTGTGTTAACATCAGTCCACCACAAGCTGGCCCTCAACCCTGAGGGCAATCAGGAGGGTCACCAGCCGTGGCTGGTGACCTTGTTCGGGCACTACAGAGCTAGGCTGAATTTGTACCAGCAGTCCAAGAGATGCCCTAGTCCCATTAGCTATGGTGTGCCTTCCCCTTCCCTTTCTTCTACCAGTGATGTGCAGAAGTCTAATAGATTTAAGGCTCTGGATCGTCATCTAAAAGCACCATTCCATACCATGGCACCGAGCTTTTCCTTGGCAGATGTCCCACGAAAAGTCTTGTAGGAGACAGTGAGCAACACAGGGAGAAGATAAATCTCTCAAGTTTAAAACAGGAGGGAATTGCTTATTCATGAAAGGACGAATTTCCCTCTGACAATGCTTATTTTCCATGATGCCATGAATAATGTAACTGCCCAAATTTCAGAGGGGGAAGGGACCTGGCAGTAGATTTATCAGGCTATGGATTATCTCCCAAGACAGAAG